GATAAGCTGAATGTATTCTCCCGCTCATGTTCAAGAAAAGCTGATGAACTTGTAAATAACCTTAACGTTCTTTAAATGGCAAAAATTTTAGGTGCTCATTTTGACACCCAACAAAACTGGGAGGCTACAAATGTGATACATACTTCTATACTGTAACCAGGCGACAGTCTAACTAACTTGAAAGTTAGTTCTGAATGAGCTGATGTTCTTGCGACCGGGAAAGGCTTCAGGATTTGATATCATCAGAATAATTGTATGTAAAATATTTAAATAGTACTTCAATCCGAACAACCTCATAAGAAGGGTATCAACCTGCAGCATACCAAATCTTCTAAAAGGAGATAGGAAAATCCATTTTTGATAAAAGGCCAGTCACATTACCCGAAATATTGTCGAGCAATGACGAAATAAGAAGATACTCGAACAAAAGCAGCGTACTCAAGGATGAGGAACACGAGTTCAGGAAAAGAAGGTTTAATGTGTGCAGTCTTTTCATAGAATGGGACATATGGACCAGATGCTAGAACCGGAAGATCCCATTTGATACAATCTTCATCGAATTTGCCTACAAGTTTAGCATCGCACCACATATATGCCTAAAGCAAAGCTATCGATGACGAATCTCCTAGACTAACTTCAATCTAGGCTCCAAAATCACTTCCAGAGCAGAATGTTCTGCATCAAGGTGGATCAAGAACCCCACCATATGTTCATTCCTTTATCTGATTTTTTACAGATGAAAGTGTACAACAACTTAACTCGGTAGCACTAATCCTCACGGAAGACACGAATAGGTGGCTGCCCATAATGGGCGAGAAGGACTCACTTGAGCTTGCAAATGACTTCACAGTAATGGAGATAATCAACGGTAGACAGTGCATTAGGACTTAAACTGCTAAATGTCATCCCATCAACATTCTGTGTCATTAGAAACAAATGACGTACTCCCTTACGAAATTCCTCTCCTAAAAGTATCCTCAGGAGGAATCAAGGGCTTGTAACCACAGGGGTGACAGACACCAACCACACCAATACTGAGATATAGCCAAAGTTACCGCGACTCTTCATTCTATGGGAAGACATGACGCAGCAACATGAGATTTGCATCTGATTTTGTTTGAAACGCCAGCACTTCCTCAATGAGATGTCCAAATTTTAACCTCAACCCTTCACTTCAAGACAAATAAAGCTCTCTCAACAGGTACACGAAGGCGTAACTGAGTGCGTAACGGAACCACAGAACAAATCATACGAAAACGGACCCTCGCCATCAAGATTATTCCCGCTAAGATATAAAAGAGAAAGCAATGGACTGAGAATGGTAACGAGAGCGGAATAAGCTGTAACAGAAGGAAATATGAAACAACTATCTGACATGACGAAGAAAATAGCAGAGGAATATAGTAAACCGGAGAGACCTATCAAGGATAAACAAACCAAACTAATCACTGAGATTTAAGAACACAGAGACAGATGAGTAGAACGCTTTGAAGGACTCATCAATAGATCAGCCTCACTGAAGCAACCAGAAGTCGAAACAACACACACAGACTTTCCTTTGGATGTCACTCCAACAACGATCGAAGAAATCGGGATGGCCATCAAACAAATGAAGAGTGAGGAAGCAACAGGATCTGAAAATATACCACCTGATGCACTGAAGTCAGACATAGAAGCAACTGCAAACATGCTCCACGTTCCATTCAGCAAGATTTGAGAGGAGGAACAAGTGCCACTGACATACTTGAAAGAAGCACATCTCTTGTCAAGTGTGAGAACTAAGGAGGCATCATGCCACTAATAGTAACATGAAAAAATATTGACAGATCGTTGCTGAACCGGATGAAAGACTCAGTAGACACCCAACTTCAAGATCAACAGATCAGATTCCATAAGGATCGTTCGTTTACAGACCGAAACACGACACTATGGACAATCGCTGAACGACCAATTGAATGGAATTTGTCACGGTACATCAACTCCCTTGACCATGAGGAAGCACTTGACAGGGTGGATAGGAGAACCTCATGGAACCTTCACCAACACTATGGTGTACCGGAGAAAACTGTCAACATCATACGAAATTCATAAGATGGACCACATTGCAAAGTGGTGCATGAAGCGCCGCTGACAGACTCATTCCGAGTTAAGATCGGTGTTAGACAAGGCTGATCACTCTACCTCTTTCTCTTCTGGTGGTTGATTGGATTGTGAAGATCTCGACATCTGACCGGAAGCACGGAATACAATGAACAGCTCGGATGCAACCAAAGGATTTAGACTTCGCAGACAACCTACCCTCCTGTCTCATATACATGAGCAAACGAAGTTCAAGACATACAGTGTAGCAGCGTCCTCTGCTTCAGTAGGCCTCAACATACATAAGGGAAGAACGAAGGTCCTCAAATACAACATGGCAAACACTTGATGAAGAGGCTCTGGAAGAGATGAATACGTTCAAGCATCTGAACAGCATTACTGGTAACTAATTGAGGATCTGATACAGATGTAAAGACAAGGATAGGTAAAACAGGTGTCTAATTTCCACATTTGACGAACACATGGAATTTAAAACAACCGTCAGTCAACATCGAAGTAAGAATCTTCAATACGAACGTCAAGAGAGTTCGACTGTACAGAGCTGAAACTTGAAGAACTACAACTCTCATCGAAAATGTACGAGTATCTCTAAACAATTGTCTACCCAAGGTACTCAATTTCCGTTGACTCGAAACCATCAACCACAGCCTACTGTTGGAGAGAACAAACCGGCTTCCAATTGAAGATGATATAGGAAAAGACGTTGGACGTGGATAGGACATGCCTCGTGAAAATCATTTAACTGCATCACGAGGCAAGTGCTAACCTGGAATACTGATGGGGAGGGGAAGAGTAGAAGATCAACGAACACACTGTACCTAAAATTGGATAGACATCGAAATAATGAACAGCATCTGTAAACAGTTCGAAAAGACTGCGAAGGACAGTGTTGGATTGAGAGTGCTGGTGAGAGACTTATGCTCCTTCGCGATTTGTAACAGATATAATTAAGTACACAAGCTATTGACAAATATATTGGATATTGAACAGTCATAGTTTACTATTTATATCATTTTGAATTCCAAACCGGCTTTCGCGTCAGCTCGTTCACCCAGTAAGTCCCGCTAGGTTTTACAAACTGTATGGCTCTTTTGTCTCCATCTATTCATCGTTTTGCTATGTTCCATTTTTAAAATGAACAAACTCGGAAAACGTATTTGAATTCTACCTTGTAATTTCAAAAATAATATCTTTAGTGATTATGGATAATTTCGAGGTATAAAACTATCAACATAGCTTCAAATAAATGCTTTCTGGGTTATTTATGTCGTTTCGTGCTCTATTCTGATGTTTCATGCACTTTGTACACACCGGATCGAAAGAATGCAGATTATAAACATTCGATCGATCTACATATCCAATATTTTACAAACTTTAAAGCCGTATTATCTGAATTAATCAGGTTATAACAAAGTTGGCTTGCCGATCGTCATAATATTTTTTGAAACTACAAATGAATTGGGACAAACTAAAGATATTTCTTTATGTCTATGAACGTGTCATCTTTATCTAAGTCTTCAGCATGCCATTATCCTATTATTTTCATTATTTTTAATTCCCTTTATTTCATCACATTAACTGTGCTCAGCTTTACTGTATGTCTCATTATGACTCAACTTATCTGCACTTTGTTTTGTTGGTTTTTGTTTCCTTTGATGTGTTGTAAACTGACAGATTTCTGAAAACAGTTGTTTTCTTTGTAACCAGGGAGTGACAGCCTCACGGTTCAAATACGTACATTTTAGTGGTTAATAAAAATAAATTTTCAGTCTTCATGGCTCCGGTGATCATTACGAAAGTATTATTTTACTTGAAACACAACGGTTATCATTTATATTGAATCCACTTAAGCTCGTCTACTCAAAGCTTTCTCATTCAGCCATCCACCGAACCATTAAAGACAGTTTCTGCAGCTCTTGAGGGCTTTTTAGCCTGTTCATTTTATGATCTTGGACACCAAGCGTACACCTATGAAGACTACTTATTTAATAAACAAAACAATGATTTGCGCTTTTGGCGTCTTTAAAGATCCCATACATAACTTTAGTATGGCAATAAAACAAACTGATTATCTTCGACGTGTATCATGTACCACAACTCAAAGTACGCGAAATAATGAAAGCTAAGATTTTGTTCATCATTGTGATTATATTACTGCCTAATCAGGTTATATAATTTAGGCTTCTGAATGTACTAAATGAACATTACCACTAAATTTATTACAAATAGCGATACCTAGTAGACAGATGTATGTAAAATGACGGACGAGGATAAAATTATCTAAACCTTCATCGATTTCTCTTATAAAACTGCTGGCGGGAAGTGTATTTGTGATGAAATCGACAATTATGAAGAAACGATAGGTTTTGGTGAAATTCATTATTTTTCTCAGGTTAACATAAATTACATGTTTGTGGCAAAATTAAGCGATCAAATAGATCAAACAAACGGTTATTTAGCTTTGAACTTCTGGAAACTAATTAATATTTTTAATATGAATTCTGTGTTTTATTCAATTTTCTCCTCCTATTTTCAGCATCGTACAAAAGTTGCTGCTTGTAAATGTAAGTTAACATAACAGATACATCTTATTTTGATCGTAGGCCTGAGTCAGTAATTGCTAACATTGAAAATGTCAAGAAAGTGGCAGATCATATACAAAAATTGACAAGTATCGTACCAGAAATTGGGATCATTTGTGGAAGTGGTCTGGGGAAGTTGGCTGATGGGGTGAAAGATAAAACCATAATTCCATACAAAAAGATACCCAACTTCCCTCAGACGTCTGGTAAGTAGTTGCATACGTTAAATTAACATTTGTAGTTGTTGGACACTCCGGAAACCTGATATTTGGAACTTTGAGCGGCCGAAAAGTAGTCGTAATGCAAGGACGGTTTCACATGTACGAGGGATATACCAATGACAAGGTAATACATTGGTGATGGTCAATTATCTCTTTGCCATAGATCGCTCTTCCCATACGTGTGATGAAGTTATTGGGGGTCAAAATTCTTATGGTTAGTAATGCTGCTGGTGGTCTCAACAGAAGTCTCAAACTTGGTGACTTCGTGATCTTAAAAGACCATATTTATCTTCCTGGACTGGGATTAAACAATGTTTTGGTCGGACCGAATCATGAGGAGTATGTTACATTGTGTTTAATTTCGTTTCTGTAGATTTGGTCCTCGATTCCCAGCACTTTCGGATGCCTATAGCAGTGACCTGCGAAAACTGGCCATGCAAGTAGCTGTAGAAAACGGATTTGGGGATTCGGTTCACCAAGGTGTTTACGTGATGAATGGTGGTCCTTGTTACGAAACACCTGCTGAGTGCACAATGCTTCTTAACATGGGATGTGATGTAGTCGGTAATTAAACAACCATTTATTTACTGAATTTAAATGACATTCAAACTGCATGCTTTAAAAATAGAATGTTGATGATGTTTTTTTAGTTACAGGATACATTTTTTACGCTAGCTTTAATCGGTTAAGCATTTTCCGTGTGATCAACGGATAACAGGTCACATGGAAATGTTTCAGCTCCATGCATACTTCAGAGACATAGCTAACAGTGTATTTATTTTGGGGCAACTTCAAAACTGTATCAGTCTGATTGTGACTATTAACTATGGTTTATTTTGTTCAAGATATTAAATCTCAGAAATCCATTTAAAATGAAACATGTATGTTATGGGAACCACAAAATATCAGAACAATGATCGATTGGTATTTAGAATACTTTAGGCAGATATTTAGTCTAAATCAAAGTACCTTGCATGGGTAAAATACTTACTCAAATTTTCTCAACGAACATCAGTTCAAACGCGGGGAACTGCCTATCCATTGACCTTCGATGAAACCTCTGAAGGTGATTGCAAAAGACACCTTGTATATCACCAGTAAGATATTTCGATGTTCTGGAACAGTCCGGTATTTAATAACCGTTTTCATCCAGACAGTGCCTGTCTGCAGTCAATTATTGTTCAATTAACTGATCAAATAATGGGAAAACCTTACGTCGTCAGATTAGATTTGTTGAGTGCTTTGAAGTAACGTGCTCTCACTCAGTTTAATGAGAATAAGTTGCAAGTGGCGTGTCTTCACTCCAGATTTCTGTATTGTTTAGAGAAAATACGGTAAATGCTCATGTGATATTTGAGAGCATGTTCTTGGTTGGCTGTTCGCGAATTCTATATTCATTTACTGTCGATCCAACTCAGACATGTTGTAGATGTTTAATTCATCATTGTTCGAATATTCGACAAGTAATTAAATAATCATGTAACAAACGTCACTTAGTAATTAACTCACATCTTTGATTCGTGTTTAGGTGGGATACATTCTCTTAATTCGAAGAAAAACAGTCACTCTCTCATTTTCGTCTATTTATTTACAGAGCATTAAGTCTATGTGCTAACGCTTATCTCACCATGTATTACAGGTATGAGTACGATTCCGGAAGTTGTAATTGCTCGGCACTGTGGAATTCAAGTGTTCGCCGTTTCACTAGTTACAAATATAAGTGTGCTGGATGTTGAAAGCGGTGTGAAGGCGAACCACGAAGAAGTCTTGGCCACAGGTGCTCAACGTGCTGAATTGATGCAATCATGGTTTGAAAAGATAATCGAAAAACTGCCCAAGGATTGAATTGGATGTTACGCTTAATATTTTGTGCAATGAATTATACTTTGTGAAAATGTTTCTATGTTTGTACCTTTACTGAAATAAATATTTTAGCTTATAAAGTGCTTGTCTAGAAACCGACATTGTTCTGTCTGTCTTTAGTAAATTTCAAATGTGAGAACCGCATCGTTAACCTCATCGTGTTGATGCAGTAATGATGCCGTTGAAATATTTATGCGGTTTAGTTCGTATACATTCTATCGACAAATCACGTCAATACGTTGTAGATATCAAACGTTGAATACGAATTTTATTTATGATACTCACATTTTAAACATGTTGAAATTGAACGGCAGACAAGGAATGAAAGATGTAGCGAATATATGGAGAATCGGCGTTTGGTAGTGCACTGACTCGACGAACAATGAAATGACTCGGCTTTCGTAGGCCACTTAAGAAGTACAGAAAGTGGATAGACAAATAAATATTATCATACGCATGAGCATGAAAAATGATTAAAGCCGCAGTTGAACAAGTATCAACAGTAAATTTATAAGTGACGGAATAACTGAACTGATTAGACCCATTTATCTGTCAAAAGTCTGAGTAAATCACGTGGCACTATAACAGTAGTTAATGCTGTTTAGATTTTCTTGTTTTGATTGTTAACGCTTTGTCGACGATGAAATACAACTGGTATTTTCAGTTGACCATTGCTGTACTGAGACTAATACAACTAAAATCGAAGTACTCAACTTTGTGTTATGTGCAATCCTATGAGGAGAAAGCATAGGTGTTAAAGCTTAAAAGAAAATCAGAGTCGCTAGAACCACTTGATTAAGTTATCATCTTCAATAATCTCTCACTAACTGTAGTTATAGATAATTATCGCTCTAATAAACTCATGCATTAATGAAATTTACAGTTATGCACTGAAGACAGAATAGCACTGTCAAACTACAACATGAGTGTGCTATCACATACTGTCTACTAGTTTAAATACAAGTTTGGAAATTGGATCACATCACATTCAACTTGGATGTAACTCTTAGACCTTATGTATGATCAGAGAATATTTTTATAATTAAACAAACGAAATAATCGAACTTGTGCTTTGCATTATTACGGGCTGTAATTTTAAATCATTCGTATGAATGAGAGTTTTGAAAACATTTGAACTTCCGTTTATATTTTTCAACAAAATATTTTATTCGTTTTGTGTAAAACCATGTAATGAAAACAACACGACATTTCGATGATTTGGAAATAACTAAAAACATAATCGATTATCAAAACCAGTCAGAATGAAGGGTTTCTGTTGAGGTTGGCGTAATTATTAGGTTCTATTCGTCACTGATTGATCACAACGAGGGCATCATTGAAAGCTGAGAAGTACTGGAAATCTATTTCGTTTTATTGTGGGACTTCTAAGGAGTGGATATATCTGACCCCGTAAGACATCCAACGTAGAACATGCGGGTTTTGTGGTATGTGTTTTATGTAAACCACATCTTGAACACATCTCTTCAAAACACTTTCAACTAAAATAAAATAACCAGCCTATTTATCGAATATTTCAACATATGAAATTATTGCACTAATAAACTCATGCATTAATGGAATTTACAGTTATGCACTGAAGACAGAATAGCATTACCAAACTACAACATGAGTGTGCTATCATATACTGTCTACTGGTTTAAATGCAAGCTTATCTATTAAATATCTCAAAATACTTCTAAAATTTTGAAAATGCTCATAACTGTCAATTCAGACGTATTGACAGTGAAACTGTTGTTACCGATGACATGAAATGATCATCACATCATGTTGAGAATTGATTGAAAATGGATAGTGTCGTTAAACACTCTTCTAGTAGTTCTAATGGTCAGGGGTTTTAATGCAAAGTGCTGAAGAACTTATGTTCGATTCTACTATGATTCGTAGGAGTTCACTGTTGATGAACACCATCATAGACGAAACGGTCGTTCAGTGCTCCATTGATTTTTACTAGCAACTCAAGTAAGATCAATCTGTGACGAATTCAATCCCCAAAAACAGATTATTAGTGAGAAATATTGTACATTCCTTATCTAAACTATTGTGAATAATAATGATAGGCTATAATGATTATGTTTCTACGATGAATTGGAACTGTCCCGTTTTGTTAATGAAGAATGTTGTATATCAGTGTGCATTTCATGAATAATTAGGGCCATCTATCCCTTAAATTGTGACATGTTGGAGACATTCGCAAATTATATTTGAAGATTGTTCTTTTAAGTTAGTTAATATGCTAGAAATTTCTTTCATCATCCACGAAATTATTAAGTAGGTGATTGACCAAATCGAATCCTCTGGATAACTGCGACAGACAACACACCGAATGGTGCATATCACTCGAGTTGTCAGTCTTTTAAATCATTCGATGAGTAGAAATTGTTCATCTAAAATCAGTGTTGTAGTTACGTAAAATTTTTCGAACAATTGAATCAGATATATATTTGACAGTGCATGAGTTTACAAACAAATAGAATGGAAGAAATAAAAATAATATACTTGTAATATGCCAATGAGTAGAAAAATTAGATTTTGTAACGGTTTGTGACTCATTGTAAGCCTCTTCTTCGGGGAATGAAAGAATAGAAAGGAAGTGTTTCGTAGAAAAACTAAAATGCCGTGACATGACACTGAGCATACAAAATGAATTAGGCCTAATCAAGGTTAGTCTAAACTATTCTTATACCTATTAATGGGTCTACATTTTCTGTTTTATTTCGCTGAAATAAACATTTGAGATAACCACTGACGGGTGTAATATCAGGATTCAAGAGTTTTTATGACCAAATTCAATAATATATTTGTCTATAGAAGATCATATTGTTTTTATATCATGTTTTCTTGTCAGACTGAAATTGTAAATATTTTGCTATCATTCATTGATATGTTAGACTGCACACAACTGAATATATGTTCAATCCTCCAGGTTTATATGCACTTTTACTTTTGCGATCTAGTAAACATGATAATGTTTGAAGAAAGAGTTAGATCTGTTTGCTTAATAATTGCAGGGTTTATGCATGGTGTCTCTATCCTGAGAGTAATTTTGGACTTCATTTCTGGAGTATACTGTATTATTATTATTCCTGTTGATTGAAACTTGTTTGCATCAATAAATCTATAGACATATATTTAGGAAAATTAATGAACAATTTCATTATATTCAACAGATAAACTCACTTTTCCTATTCATATAGACGAATTTTCCTTCTAATATGAGTGATAGTATGTTGCCTTATAACACTTCTATTATTAAATTTTAGTCATTTGAATACTTCATTTTTCACTACGAGAAACTTATCAGTGTTTGAGATTATCTTATTTCAGTGATATGCTTCTCTATTCAGTCATAAGATATGCCATATGAAATAGAGCATTACTGATCAGGTTAATTTCGAATATCTTTGAATCATCAAAAATTATACCGCCAAATTATTCAATTGATGAGTTGTTTTTCAAATCATGATTTCACGTACGTTTTTTCAGTAATGTAGTAATTCTTTTATGATACGAAAATTACTTCAATTCACTTAACCGTCTTAACTGATCTAACAATATTTAATTTTAAACACTTGCTTATATGATGGTTAACCAAATATTCCACTAAGTTCACTACTGACTATTTTGGGATACTAGTTTTTCAGATACTTTGTCTGCTCTTATGTTATTGGGTTCTATATATTTTAAAAAAAAAGATTTTCTCATTAATGCCAATCAACTTTTTCATTCAAAAGGAAACTATTTTTATTTGAAATTGAAGCATAATACTGCACCAGTATTTCGCTGTACATTACAGCATTTAGGTAAACACCTAAGAAAAAAGGTCAAAGGTTAATTGTTTCACGAGTTTAAATCACATGGTGGCCTTTAAAATGATGTGATTCCATCAAAGTCAAAAAATTTCGTGTATCAGAGGTTGACTTCAATATTTACGAAATAGCTAGCTTATCTTTGACTGAATAATACAGAAGTTAGTTATCATTAATGAAGGATAACTATATATATTGAAGTTCCAGTGATGTTAATGTCTTAGAGACGATTACTGGGTTTACCCTCACAAACAGGGTCATTAAACATGACAAATAGGATTAAACATTTCCAAAATATTGAGTTATGTACTCACGAACTACCACTAATTACTCGGATAATCCAGATTATTTAGTACTTAAATTTTAAATGTTTGGATGTGCCTTAGATAAAAATTTATCAGAAGTGGCAAACGACTATTCGGTCAGCCGTAATAAGTTGTTCATCATTCGAATTTTAAGTGAAGGTATTTCATGTGAAAAACCGACCAACTTAAGGTTTTGCAAGGGAAATTAATTAAAGTTCAGAGAAGAATACATGGACTCAATTTCGATTTTATATCTTCGAACTCTGTTAGAACTGACGCTTAATTTATTATTCGTGATACGATTTGGTGTTCATAACCATTTCCATTCCAGTCTTGTAACTGATTACACTTTTATTCATTGATCGAAGGACGAGAAAACTTGGCATTATCTGATTGACCTAATACCATATAAAGCGAAATCAGTTGCGATATAATCACTCTACTATTACACAGTCTCTGTTCAAATGCGTCTAATATCATATGTAAAGGATAGTGTTTACTTTCTCGACTTATTAAATTAGACCACTTGGTAGAATATGATAAATTTCCAATGTGAATAATAGTGTACAAGGATGTAATTATGGCTCTACATTAGGTACAACACGCGCAACTTGGATATGTGAAGAAAACTGACAAATATTTAAATAATCAAATTTAATACCAATCGATCTAGTGTTTCTAAGTGTCCATTCTACTTTCCTGTTTATCCACTATGCATTGTTACTAATACAACTATTATGACTTTGGTCACTATTAATACGACTTGTCACGGAAATAAAATCGATGTATTTTCGCCTTATTAGTCATATGGTAAAGTTATTTGCAGGGTTAATGAAATGATCGAGAATATTAATGGCTTCGGATGAGGATGTCGAAATTGTTACGTCCTCTAAGCTAGATGATTAAGTTGTGAAAGTTTCATTATACTTCATCACTAACCATCGTATTTAGAGGACAAATCAACTCCAATATGTAGGGTTAGCTCATGGTTGAATAGAACCAACCATAAGTCACACAACTCGGGACTCATCAGTAAGTTTCGAAATACCTTGTTATATAAACGGTGATTTGGTTTAGGCTCTTGCTTTTAACAAAACTACATTAGTGCACTTCAAAATTTCTTGATAGTTTTTTTCCTTGCCCAAACGCAGTATATATGTCATGTCGTGAATTATGAATCACCAGGGTACCGTTCACAATCAAATAGACTGTATTTATGTAGAAATCCTATGTCTTATAAAGAAAATAAAAGATTATATAATTTCACTAGAATAGTGAAAACGCTTTCAACCATTAATCGAAACAGCTATAGAAACTTAAATATAATTATTCGTAAGGTAGAATATGCACAGACTTCAATAAATTGTGCATCAGTAAACTGTGAATCATTTGGTTATTATATAATGGATCTAATAACATATGCAAGCTAAGGTGTGTGATTTATTTACTTACGCCTGTTACACCTCGGGAAGGAGCATAAGTCGCTCACCATCAGTATTCCAGGTTAGCACTTGCCTCGTGATGCAGTTAAATGATTTTCACGAGGCATGTCCTATCCACGTCCAACGTCTTTTCCTATATCATCTTCAATTGGAAGCCGGTTTGTTCTCTCCAACAGTAGGCTGTGGTTGATGGTTTCGAGTCAACGGAAATTGAGTACCTTGGGTAGACAATTGTTTAGAGATACTCGTACATTTTCGATGAGAGTTGTAGTTCTTCAAGTTTCAGCTCTGTACAGTCGAACTCTCTTGACGTTCGTATTGAAGATTCTTACTTCGATGTTGACTGACGGTTGTTTTAAATTCCATGTGTTCGTCAAATGTGGAAATTAGACACCTGTTTTACCTATCCTTGTCTTTACATCTGTATCAGATCCTCAATTAGTTACCAGTAATGCTGTTCAGATGCTTGAACGTATTCATCTCTTCCAGAGCCTCTTCATCAAGTGTTTGCCATGTTGTATTTGAGGACCTTCGTTCTTCCCTTATGTATGTTGAGGCCTACTGAAGCAGAGGACGCTGCTACACTGTATGTCTTGAACTTCGTTTGCTCATGTATATGAGACAGGAGGGTAGGTTGTCTGCGAAGTCTAAATCCTTTGGTTGCATCCGAGCTGTTCATTGTATTCCGTGCTTCCGGTCAGATGTCGAGATCTTCACAATCCAATCAACCACCAGAAGAGAAAGAGGTAGAGTGATCAGCCTTGTCTAACACCGATCTTAACTCGGAATGAGTCTGTCAGCGGCGCTTCATGCACCACTTTGCAATGTGGTCCATCTTATGAATTTCGTATGATGTTGACAGTTTTCTCCGGTACACCATAGTGTTGGTGAAGGTTCCATAAGGTTCTCCTATCCACCCTGTCAAGTGCTTCCTCATGGTCAAGGGAGTTGATGTACCGTGACAAATTCCATTCAATTGGTCGTTCAGCGATTGTCCATAGTGTCGTGTTTCGGTCTGTAAACGAACGATCCTTATGGAATCTGATCTGTTGATCTTGAAGTTGGGTGTCTACTGAGTCTTTCATCCGGTTCAGCAACGATCTGTCAATATTTTTTCATGTTACTATTAGTGGCATGATGCCTCCTTAGTTCTCACACTTGACAAGAGATGTGCTTCTTTCAAGTATGTCAGCGGCACTTGTTCCTCCTCTCAAATCTTGCTGAATGGAACGTGGAGCATGTTTGCAGTTGCTTCTATGTCTGACTTCAGTGCATCAGGTGGTATATTTTCAGATCCTGTTGCTTCCTCACTCTTCATTTGTTTGATGGCCATCCCGATTTCTTCGATCGTTGTTGGAGTGACATCCAAAGGAAAGTCTGTGTGTGTTGTTTCGACTTCTGGTTGCTTCAGTGAGGCTGATCTATTGATGAGTCCTTCAAAGCGTTCTACTCATCTGTCTCTGTGTTCTTAAATCTCAGTGATTAGTTTGGTTTGTTTATCCTTGATAGGTCTCTCCGGTTTACTATATTCCTCTGCTATTTTCTTCGTCATGTCAGATAGTTGTTTCATATTTCCTTCTCTTACAGCTTATTCTGCTGTCGTTGCTAGCTCTTCCACATATTTCTGATTGTCATCTCTAGTGCTCCTCTTTACCTGCCTGTTTGTTTTTGTGTATGCAATGTGTGCCTTGAGTTTCTCTGTTCTTGTTGTTCCTTTCTTGAATGTTGACCATCGTTTCCGTAGACATGCATTACTTATGATGATGGTTAAGCTACAGGCTGAGTTTTAGATGTGTGTGCTCAGTGTATGTTAGGAATCTCAGACTGTGCTTACTAGACCTAATAATAATGATTGTGATTTGCATTTTATGAGATGGACCAACTCCTTTTGTAGTAACGAATGGAAAAAGCTTAGACCTTAGTGATAGTACCATCTAACGGTTCATAATAATTTAAGACTATGAGTACGATTATAGACTTAATGACATTATTATTTTTCAAAAATAAGACAATGTAGCCTAACATATTTGTCATAATAATTGTATAGAAATGTGGAATTGCTTTCTTAATCTTTATTACAAATATTTTGTAATTAGATTTGTGTTGTAACGGAGCGAAAACTGACTTCCTTACGAATTTCTATTGTTTATACTTTTATTGTATAACTGTGAGATAACCGAAGTATTATATTTCTTTATTCCATATATGGTGAGGTTCCGTTAGATTTATTAGCTATTGTTATAATTCATATTGTTCTTTAATTATTATTAATTAATTAGGTTCTCTTTGCCACGTTTTCGGTTACTTATAGCATGAATATACGTAAAGAATGGTCACCTATTTAGAGTGATTAAAGTCTGATAATTCATGTGTATACTGATGTGTGAGATGAATATAATGTGATCCTGAAATATAATAATATTAGCTTGGATTAACTTGGACTCGAGACTCAGGATAGATGAAGGAACACAAAATCGGCGGACTAATATAAGTTTGAGTTACCTCGACTTTAAGTTTAATCATGCTAATTGACTTTTATCATTAGTTAAAGCGTATGACCTCAGGCTATAACCGAAATACTACACACGAGGTAAAGAAATATAACACTATTCTTATTGCCTTATCTTCTTTGAATATTGATAAACATGACATTCTTAGCAGTTTATAACGAGTTTTGATTCAATTCATTGTTTATATTGAACCAGATATCTTATATTTACTTCTTATCGATGCTTTCTTGAGTTATTTTGTAATAAATTCACATACATCTTCAGATGTAAATTCAAATTCTTGTTTGCTTCTTTTAGTTTTTGTAAAATATTTCATTATTTATATATTTTTATGTTGGCATTTGTTGTTCTATATTCAGAATACTTGAAATATGATCAATTGACCAGAAGTTACTACATGAAGCCAAATCCATTTTTCATTGTCTTAATACTTTTAAACGATTTAGTTGATTGATACTTTATCACGTTTTGTTTTTGCTATCATTTCCAATTATTGATGTATAATTAGGGTTATAAGATTATGTATGTTCTTATTATTTGAATTAAAATGTATTCAGTCAGTTTTGTTTATATTAAACATTTATAGGTAGACTATATGATGGTTTTTCACATGATAGTATGATCATAAATAAATGTGTATTACCAATTTTCTGTTTCACAAAAAAAAACCAAACCAAACAAATTCATCTCATTTTTGTTTTGTTTTTAGGTAAATTGAACTTGGAATTTACTGTTTTTCTGTATATTAGTGATTTCAATGACAAGATTTTTACATTAAGAGGTCTACAATGGTATATTTTGTATTCAATCTATATATATATATATATATATATATATATATATATATATATATATATATATATAATTAGTTTAAACATTAACTATATAAAGTGTTTATTAAAACTAATGGAAGAAAATACTATTCAGTTATTACGCAAATAATATGCATTTTACGATTATGAGATTGATAGATCATCAGAAATACAATAAGTAGATCGGAAATATAGTTGTTCAACTTTGTTCACTACTACATACAATGATACTATATTACTGTACATGTAAATATGAGGATGATTTGTTACTGAAGTTCAATTGGTTCAGTTCGTGATTCTTATTCTAACTCCAGTTTTGCTAATTGCAATAAACTTACAGTGAGTAGTTTCCTAATATTTTATAGTTTTCAACTCATTTTCACTTATTTTTTTGTTCTAGAAGCTAATGACAATTGATTAACCATATGATTACATAAGAAGTAATAAACAGAATAAACGGCGGCTCGTTCGTGGTTTATCTGCACTACATTTCGTTCCCTTTATGTCAATCAATCCAACATCAGCTGGTCTATATACGGCAGTTTTATAGACTATAATCTAGATCCAGAAAAATTTAGTCATTCAGTTAACTAGAACTAGGTTAGAAAGGCCTAATTGTGTACGAATTTCATCTGAGAACAAGTAAGTTTGATATCTTTAACATTGTAGTTAATATTATACTTAGTTTGGGTAAGTAAATGAATAATGCTTGTGTGCTTATTATATCCCTTAGAGGTGTATTTAGAGTTTGACACATTGTTGTGAAAGTTTAATACACCTTTTGTATTGGTAAGATAAAACGTTTGTTATCAATAAATTTCCAACTATTATTTTATCATCAAACATCACTGATTTCTATAAGTTATCTGTTTAAATAGCTTGGTTTATCTTATTTAAACATTCGTGAATATTTGAAGTTTCCTTGGAATTCTATACCAGGTATTTGGAAGATACTAAGTGTACAGGTGATTTTTTTAAATTTCAGTGGTCATAATTTAAATAGATTCAAGCTCCCTCTGGAAAGTTATAAAAGTGAGGACCCTGACAGATAAGTAAGATCGAGAATAACTGAAATAAGTACGGCGAAACTATATTTAGGGAAAAATCAATTAGATTTAAGGTAACAGATCTTGGATTTTGGCACGAAATTCATTTATCCATTTGGCTAAATAGCGTTATGGCATTTCAGCTGATGTCAGTTCATGACGAAAACGCTTTATCTAGTTCCTAACCGTAAACATCAACTGAAAATCCTAATTCCTTATACTAGTTCCCATCCTCTTTTAATCTTAGTAAGCAAGTAAACATTCTCAAGGTTACTTCAGCGTTGCTCAAATGTCGTCCAAAAATTATAGTGTAACCATAAACACTCGTCTAATAATGTTCAAATGTTGATTTTGCCCATACGCCATCTTCTAACTCGGCGGTAAGATCTCAGATTGCAAACTCGGGTGACACTGGGTTCATCTTTGAGCATTAGTTCCTTTAAAAAATATCTACACCTTGCTGACGAAGTCCTGAGTTTTCTTTCAATTACCTCCAATCACTCAACATTTATGTTACCTTAATGATTATCTAGAATTTAGTGACATATTTCTCAAATTCATTAGTTCATAGTCCAATCGTCAGTACTAAGCCATAATGCTATCATTCATATCTATCATACTACGGAAATGGTTGGACTTTATTGGTTTTTGTTTTTCAACAAAAATCGCAAAATCTTTGCGACTGATTACAAAGTTGTGATCATTAACGACTAGATTTGCAAAAGATTCCTGAAACTGTTATCCACTACTCTGTGATTTTTCGGTAGTTGTCAATCAGTTATGAGAAGTAAATCATAATATTTTGGTCCTGCAAGTGAAGATTCATTGAATAACAATTGAGGTATTTAATGTAATGAGTTCAACATTGAAATTAATCAAAACACTTAGTCTCTTCTTAAAATTGACCTGTGATTGTCACAGAACAATAAGTTTTCTAAAAGCTTTCGTATTGTACAATAAAACCGATTGCAAATCAATTACAAACATGTACAAACCGATATCTTTTTTCTATTTTGAGTTCATTACAAAAGTCTGCTTTCAAATGACATGGTCTATTATACAGAAAATGCTATGTAAAAGTACATGTTTTTCTTCAGTTGGTATTTTAGATTAACTTTAAGCCTTACAGAAATAAGCACTCTCAATTATGTATAAATAGCAACACTAACAATCAGAAATCATTTCACCTAAATGTTAGACCATTGAAAACTTAGAAGCACTGAATTGCCATTTCATGCTGGTATGGGATACCTCAGCAATGAGCATCCACGATCCCACAAGTGGGATTCGAACGCAGAACTGATTGTTATTTGCTAAATGACACGATTTATTGCTCTTTTTCCAATAAATCTATAATAATATTTCTATTTTATTATACGTTTCGAACAAAAGAAAATCAATCAACTGTCATTAAATATCAGTGCATTATGCAGAAAAATAAATAATAAAAATAAAATGCACCATTTTTCAGTTCAAGATAATGAATTATAATCTTTCAAGAAAATATATAGAATTATTGCAATTGTATAAGGACTTAGATAAAAGCCAATTAAAGCATGCGATTAGAAATGACAATAAATAAGATTGTTATATGTTAGCAGAATATGATATTTATGAGAAAAGTTTGTATACAAGTTGATGGATGAGATTCACTAGTTGAGATATCAAAATAAGAATATTAAACCTTTAAACTCTTGGTGATGATAGAAAAAATAAAGTTTTTATAATTTATGAAAGTCATCAATGACCACACAAGAAATCTTTATCAAGTTCTTCGGGTTTTAATTCAAGTATGAAGTCAATAAGCTTGCGAGCAATTATTCATATCATCTACTATCTGCTGATGTTAAATAAGTTTAGTATTGTATCACAAGTAGCCTGAATTTAAAAATGATAACTACTCAGTTTCGACATAAAAATGGCGCTATTAGAATTTAAAAGTTATTGTCATGTGTTACATATAGTATTTCACAGGTTGAAATCATGAGGCAATTGAATCTAGACCACCATGGAAGACCTGGAAGCACTGGAAGGCCGTTTCGTCCTATTGTGGCACTCCTTAGCAGTGCGCCTCCACGACCCCGTCTCGCTGAATCCGAACCCAGGACCTATCAGTCTCGCGCGCGAGCATTAGTGTTTTCCTGGTTATGCTTGACCGAATTAATAGACTCTTAATTAATTAGACCAGCTAAGGTCATTAATAAAACTGATTGGGTAAAGCATGAACAAATAATAGGGAATGAGTTTACTACCTACTTTATACACAGTTAAAATAGGAGGAAAGAAAACAATTTTTACTGCACTACTAGAGGAATAATAATAACACATTGGGTTGGTTGATGTTGGACACTAACACCATTGGATGCCGGCTCAGTGGTCTAATGGTTAAGTGCTCAGGCGCGAAGCCAGTAGGTCCTGGGTTCGAATCCCGCGGGGTGCGGGATCGTGGATGCGCACTGCTGAGGAGTCCCATACTAGGACGAAACGGCCGTCCAGTGCTTCCAGGTTTCCAACGGTGGTCTAACATCAATTGATTCATGATCTCAACCAAAAACTTAATAATTTCCACAACCCCCATACTGATAAAAGATAATAAACAAATTTTGTGTTTATCATTCAACGAAATGAATTTTGTTTTTTTTTTCTTATTAATTTACAGACACATATTTATAATCAACATACGATACAATTGAAATTGCTACTGTGTGACGTGAGTCACTGTAGCTCACATTATGAACAATAAAATTGTTAAGAGGTCGATGAAATGACTCATCAAAACATACTGATGACCTCAAATAATTGATGCGATATTTTTCACGCGTGAATTGTTGATAATTGGCATATTGAACATATATGATGTGACCGTGAAATTGAAATATAGAGATAATCGATGTTTTGAAAGTTTATTCCTAAATTTCAATCAATTCATTATAATAACAGGAACGAGACTTTATTTGTTTGTTCCGATTTCAGTTGATAATTCTAATACTAATGAGTATATTCTACATCATACAGAGTCTACATCAAATACACAGTCTGACAGACACACGGTGAACCTAAAGAGATGTACAATTGAACGCAGAAATTCGGATTCTCATTTAAGCTGTAGTGGATGTGGTATCTGTATAAACTAATGATCTTTTTGTACTTGACGACCAGCTTATTACGAATTCCACTTATAATACGTTCATTTGTGTTCATCTAGTTCTACTTACAGTGAATTGCACTATTTCGGGGATTCCTAGTTCGTATAATATTTCGAATGCTTCTGATCATCATCAATCCATACACAAACAACAACTGCTTCCTAATTCTGTTATCATTCAAAATGGATATCTTGAATTAATAAGATCTCGTAGTCACTGCTATGTGAATTTCATAAAAGATAGGTTACATGTGAACTGGATACTTATGAACAACAAAACTTCATAGACTCATCAACTATTTGAATCATTTTATTTATTTTCAACAATTGATGTAACTCATGGATAGTAAAGTTTTCTCCACATAATACAAATGTTTATAATGTGGAAACGGCCAAAGTACAACAGTTTATGTTGTTTTATGATCAGTTCTTTTTGACCGAGAACACAAATACAAACTTTTAGTACATACTTTGTTTAGTTATATTTACAGTATAGTCAAAATAATACTCACTTTCTCGCAACTTATTAGTAGAAGGATTAAATGATCGATATGTTTATTAGAGTTGTTGACCATGAGTGAGCATATGAAATGGGGAAACACCTTCATTTGGCCATTTTATCAACAACAATTAGTGTTGAATAAATATAATTTTCGACAAAAAACATTCTGGAGCAGTCTCAAACAAAGATTTGCAATAATTCTTCAGGAACACCATTCAATGACACCGTAAGCAATAATTATGCATTAAGGTTGAAATTAAATGTAAGGACTTAGTAGTGGTACTGTTGCAATTGTCGTACTTTTTATGGCTCACTTCTTTCGGCCTCAGTTAAAATATGAGAAATCAAATTATTCTCCCAAATGACTGCTTTAGCCACTCTAAAACAGTTGGTTAAAAGAAATGATTATCTTACACTTCATCAGTTGATCTGTTATTTTTTGCATTTGATTTAAACTAAAGGAACTGTCAATGTAATTCGGTAATTACAGAAAATGAATACTACGTTGACTAAACAATCTTTTCACCTTGTTAAATGATTATATAAATCCTGTCAGCTTATCCCAGGCTTAAATTTTTAAGCATATTTTTTATGTTTCATAATACTTTACACTGTCTTCACGAATTTCAGTATACATCCTTGACTTAAAAATGTATTGATACGCGCCCAAACTTATTCGAATCAAAGATCTCACGATCCCACTTGTACATTGTATTAAGAACAATTTA